TAATCTTTAAGATTGCCGAGTTAGTTAAAATAGGTTTACATTTATTCCCGATTTGGATTATTTGAGGAATTTTAGAGAATTAGGTGCTACTACTAGGAGTTCTAATTGGTATGAATAGAAACTGGATTTTAAAGAATCCCATAATAGATTGGTGTTAGAGTACCTTACATTTCGTTTGAAGAGGCAAGTAGAAAGGATTCGTAAGTTGATTCCATCGGAAACTGTGGGGAGGCTGCCTTGGAGCTGTGGTTGGAGATTTGTATTAATAGGTCGTTGGCGCACCGCACTGCCACCCCGATGTATCCTTGCTGAACTTTCGTCCGTCATGTGACGGACATCTTCTGGGCAGGCCTCCAGGCTTAACGATAATTCACCAAAAACACGAAGACAAGAAGGGTGGCCGGATTCAAGCCTACTTCCTTCTTATATTCCAATTTGGTCCACTTATGCATCTCATACTTTGGCTGGGTGTCCTATGCTTTTATTCTATATCTGCTCATAAGTTAAGTGGCTGCGGAGGACATATCAAGTAGCTATAGATGAAGCGTGAAATGGTTGCAATTGAAACCGAACAGCTGCATCCTCCCCTAAAACACACATGCCTTTGATCCTGCAATACTACCGCATGTGATTGCATCCCATTGCACGCGTGTTGTGTGAATGCATTGCTCTTCAAATGAGTGTGATGTGGGAGTCATAACCAGATTGCAGCCTAATCAAACCTCCTCCTTTTGCTCGTTGATACATCTCGTTCCCCCCTGTCTATTTCTAAACCTATCCAACAGCCACAAGTAGTTTCCGCTTAACTTCCTACACTCATTCCTCCTATTCAAGGCGTTGGCTGTTTTATTTATTTCTATAGCCTCCCTAATCTTTTTCTTACTAGTTGGTATAGTATCCATATCCAACTGAGCGTTTAGCATTAGACCAACTTATCAGGTGCCCTGTGCGAGCCATGTGTTCGGCCAATTCCGATTTTTGTACTCACATTTCCTTGCAGGCTGTTTTGTGTTCGGATAACCTCTTCTGTATGTGTCTACATGTCTCTCCCACATAAGCACTACCACATGAACACAAAATCTTTTTACGAAAAAATCTCGAGAGCGGGTCAGAGTATTCTCGAAAAGAAGGCAATACCAAGAAAAGCGTTATTTTCTCTGTATAAATGGTCCTGATGTTCCACCTCCTCAGTAATTCGCCTATCTTCTTTGACAGTTATACGATGGCAACATAAGGATTCTAGAAATGATCTGTTTTTTTGTCTAGCCACAAATATGTATTTCCCTTCCTTCTATTTGACAATATTCTCAAATAGTTATATTCGTAAGTGAGTAGGGTTTCGAGACTACCAGTAAATCAGTGTAATGAGATGTATT